CATCTTTTGTTATCGATATATATTGAGTATTACAATTTTAATAGTTTTTTCCTTTCTTAAAATGTGTATACTATTTTTGGCACCCTCTGTAGATTTTCTTTCTCTCTCCCTCTCTGTATGCATACACACACAGAGGGTCATGTAATAGTATTTTAGATAACAGAAAAACTACCCAAGTCATCTCATAAGACTAACATGACTTTAAACGAACACTAGACAAGGACAAAGACAAAAAAAAAAAACAACAACAAATACAATTTATTCCAGGAGTACAAAGTTACCACCAAAAAACCTATTAGTTAAATCACTATATTAAATGATGAAAGGAGAAAAATGCAATGGTTGTCTTAATAGATGTAGAAAAACATTCAATATATTTAACCACTCATTTACATTAAGAAAAAACTCTGAGCACATTAACTTTTAAGGTATATCTATCAAAACCACAGCAAACATATTGCTTAATGGTAAAATTTTTAAAGCATTTTTATTATGGTCAGATATGAGAGAAGGATGCCCACTGTCATTGCTTCTATATACCATAATACTGAGGCCAACGCAATCAGGCAAAAACAAGAAGTAAGAGATCTCAGAATTTGAAAGAATGATATAAAATTATCTTGTTTCAGACAATATGATTGTCTATTCAGGAAACTCTACAGTATCTATAGTCAATCAACTAAAATTAACAGAAGTTCAACAAGGTTGCTGCATACAGATAACATTTAGAAATTAATATTGTACCTGGATGGTACAGTCTACTACACACCTAGGTACATAGTATAGCCTATTTCTTCTAGGCTACAAATCTATACTGCATGTTACTGTACTGAATATGGTAGGCAACTATTAATATAACACAATGGTAAGTATTTGTATATCTAAACCTTTCTGAACATAGAAAAGGTACAGTAAAAATATAGCATAAAAGATTTAAAAAAGTGGTACAGGGCACTTACCATGAATGGAGCTTGCAAGACTGGAAGTTATGCTGAGTGAGTCAGTGAGTGAGTTGTGAGTGAATGTGAAGACCCTATCAACACTGTCCCATAAGCCCTCCCCCTGCTGCCTCCTGACAGGATCAGAAATAGAACATGAAAGCTGTCAATGTTGCTTCACGAACAAGGATGTGGGTTTGGATTGATTGGAAGTATTGAGGAGAAGCTGGCTGGGTACGGTGTAGATCCCATAACAGTGGCTGTTTGGAGGGAGTAAAAGGTCGCCTAAGGATCAGTAGGAATTAGACATCAAGATGGAGAGATAAAGGAATACAGGGAATTGTCATGGTGATGTGGTTTTGGTTATTGCATGTTAGAGTAGTGGTCAGTTAAGGAACTTCATGGTATTCTTAAAAAAGATGTTTAACATGGAGAAGTGTAGAACTGAGGACTCAATATTTTGACTTTGAAAATTTGTTTTTGGTTCTATTGACCCTCTTCAGCACAATGGGTTCACTCTGGCAATGAATTAATGAAAAAAAATTAAATTCACATATGCTTTATATCATTACAACCTGAAAATATTTTCAAAGCAGAGGGACAAGCTGGCTCCACATTATCACAGAAAGCTTTCATTAAAGTGGAGGTGACATTTAATAGTTGTTAAGGTAGCTCGCATGGATCTGTGTATTTGTAAAGGATTTAGGTTCTCAACCTGAATTTACAGCAATGTACTTGGAAGGCCATCAAGCTAGATCGGGGAGGGCTGAAAATGCAGTGCTGGGGCGACAGGCTGCTCTGTGCTGAAACAGGTCAGTGCCTGACTGATTGAGATGTAATCTGTGCACTCAAAATTGAGATGCTGTGAATGAGAAGCAATCTATAGCCAAGCCCCACACATAGTGCTCCAGAAAAAAAAAAATTTTTCATGAACAACATATCCTTCCATTTTATTTTTACAGGAAATTCAACTCTATTAAAATCTTATGGGACCATTATTGTATATGTGGTCCACAATTGACTGAATGGGCATCATGCAATGCATGATTGTAAATAAATGGAAAGATATTCCATGTTTATGGACAGGAAGACTCAATGTTGTCAAGATGTCAGTTTTTCCCAACTTGATCTCTACTTTCAATGCAATGAAAATCCAAGTAAGTTATTTTGTTGATATTGACAAACTGATTCTAAAGTTAATATAGAGTGGCAAATAACCCAGGATAGCCAACATAATATTGAAGAACAAAGTTTTTCAATAATAAAAAGCCATAGTACTATAAAGCCACAGCAATCAAGACTATAATATTGATTTAAAAAAATAGAAAAATACATCAATAGAACAGACTAGAGACCCAGGAACAGACCTACATTAATACAGTCACTAATCTTTGACAAAACAGCAAAGTCAATACAATGGAGCAAAGATAGTCTTTTCAACAAATGGTGCTGGAACAACTAGACCTCTGAAAGCACAAAAATGAATCTAGACACAGACCTCACACCCTTCCCAAAAATAAACTCAAAATGGCTCATACACCTAAATGTAAAACCACAACTATAAAATTACCAGAAGATGGCAGGAGAAAATCTAGATGACCTTGGGTTTGGTAAATTTTTAGATGCGTCACCAAAAGCACAATCCATAAAATAAATAATTGATAAGCTGGACTTCATTAAAATTAAAATTTTCTGCTCTGTGTAAGGCAATGTCAAAAACTGAAAAGAGAAGCCACAGACTTAGAGAAAATATTTGCAAAAGTCATATCAAATAAAGGACTGTTATCCAAAGTATGCAAAGAACGTTTAAAACTGAATAAAAACATAAATAACCTGATTTTAAAAATGAGCCAAATACCTTAAAGACATGTGATCAAAGAAGATACACAGATAATAAATACCATATCAAAAGATGTGCAACATCATATGTCAGTAGGGAACTACAAATTAAAATGACAATGAGATACCACTACAGACCTATTAGAATGGCCAAAATTCAGAAGACTAAGAATGCAAAATGGTACAACTACTTTGAAAGACAGTTTGGTAGTTTCTTATGAAACTAAACATATTTTTCCCATTTGATCTAGCAATCATGCTCCTCAGTATTTACCCAAAGGGGCTGAAAACTTATGTCCACACAAAAACCTACACATGGATGTTTATAGCAGCTGTATTCATAATAGCTCAAACTTGGAAGTAATCAAAATGTCCTTTAATAGATGAATGGATAAACTGTGGTCCATCCAGAAAATGGACTGCTCTTTAGTGCTAAATAGAGATGAACGATCCAGCCATGAAAATACATGGAGGAATGTTAAATGCATATTACTGAGTGAAAGCAGCCAATCTGAAAAGGCTACATCCTATATGATTCCAACTAAATGACCTTCTGGAAAAGGCAAAACTATGGAGACAGCAAAAATATCAGTGTTTGCCAGGGGTGATGGGAAAAGGATAGATGAATAGGCAGAGCACAGGGATTTTTAGGGCAGTGGTACTCTGTGTGATACTGGAATAGTGGATACATGCCATTA